TACCGAGGATAAGTTTTTTAGTCCCCATCAGTCCAGACTTGTCTTGTGTGTTCTCCCCAGCTTTTCAGGATTCTTGGCAGAAAGGATTCATTAGACTGAGAGAAAGTAAAACATGCATTATAAAAGGTTTGCTCTCAGAGGCCAGAGAGTGGCTCATTAACACAGTCACCTCTCCTACTCGTGTTGTGGATGGGGACCATGAAAGTACAGGGCTGCTGGCACTCATTAAAATCCCAGGTAATAGGAGTTCACGGTGATTGCTCCTGCAGACAATATTTCTCCATTCACACCTGTGCATCCTTGTCATAAACAGAATGTTGTACAATGCTCTATAATGATAGTCCCTAAGAGAACCTGATTGTTTACTTCTTGTTTCAGTAATATTAAGATATGTTCAAAGCCTGCAACTACAAAAGGGCCTCATCTTTGATTACTTCTCCATAGCAATGGAAGAAGCCTGCTAATATCAAGAACTTTATGTAGGTGTGATGCGGAGCATTCGTATCAGGCAGAGGCATTTTATTCATGGTATATAGAGTTATCAGAGGGAAAAATTCAGTCGGATCCCCTCCCCCCTTTTTTTTCCCCTCTCCACTCATCTGTTTTGGCTTGTTTGGTTTTTTTTTTGACACTTGGCAGATTTTTTTTTTCTGACTTAAGCTGAATAATGTGATTCTCGAAACAGAGATGCAAGAGAATGTACAAGACACTTCCCTACAAAGGCTCAGACTTACTTTAAAAGCTAAAAATAAAACAACAGAAAAATCCCGCCCTTTTAAGTTTATTTATGAAATGAGTGTGACACTAAAATACTTTAATTAGTCAACTTCTTTTTGACTGATATCTTAGAAAGGCTGAAGTATGAAACTTGAAAAACAGTCTCACTAAGGCAGAAAAGAATATTTTTACCTGATGTTATCAAAGTCATTAATTTGTCTAATTTTTTAAAAAAGTCTTCCTATGCTGTGTTATGTTAGTACGGAACTGTTTTCCTACAAAGGAATTTTAAAATACTTGTTATACATAATCTAGAAAGAAATAATCACCCAGATATTTTGTCCAAATAGCATCCTAACTACCTACTGCAGCCCACACAAGGCACCCTACTCATATAACTTTCTGAGGCACACCTTCCTCGCCTACTATTGAGACTTTCTGATGAAGAGTTCTTTTAGTCTTCAATGTTTATTGGCTATACTTTAAATATGACTATTTGAATAATGTATTAGCAAAGGCCTGGGAACATGGTAAGCTACAAACTCAGTGTAAGAGGAACGTTGCTTCAATTTGGTATTTTGAAGTCACCCCCCACCCCAAGTAAAACCTAGTTCCTGTGACCTAGAGGTGACACAAGAAACCATACATTTTCAGCCACGTGAACATCCTTGTGAAGCTGAGGGCTGGTCATAGGAAACGAAAGGAAGACAGAATAACAACATAGATATCGCGAAAGGGTACACGTATCCATCACTGGCCCTGTGCTCCACGTGAATGAAACACATTTTCCTCTCCAGTTTTAGAAGCCCAGTGACCGCACCGTTTTGTTTTGGTATTTGAAGAATCTTGAGCATAGAAGTAAGAGAAGAGGCCCGGTGGGAGTGTAAATTGCTAACACTCCAGGTGACTGCAGTACAATCTCGGAGTGACACACGGGGAAGATGATAATGAAGTTGTGGGAAATGACAAGGCAAGGGGTATTTAGCCAACGGGAGCACCCCTGCCTCTGGTGAGCTTTGGAAAATTCACAGTAAAACTCCTTGCTTTAAACAAGGCAAACACTTAAACAACTGTGAAAACCCCAGACCATACGAGAGACACTGAGTATTCGATGTTGCGGAAATCAACTGTAACAGCTGATTCTCCTCTCACCCCCTGGCATCCACAGCGCTTACCATTGGACAGGTATAGCACAAATGGCCAATTTCAAAGAAACTTCGAAAGTCTTAAAGCTGTTAGAGTTTTGTGTCCAATGTAATGTAAATCTTACACGTTTGATGTCTTCATCAGTTGAGGGTAAATCAATGGTGCCGCCTTGTAAGACAAGAGCAGACCACGGTTACAGATTTCTGCACTCTGCTGCGGTGTTCTTTCTACATCTCTGTGGCTTTGATTGCTACTATCAGGCCTTCCTCCAGTGTTCTCATCACAGCTATTGCTACATACGCTTATGCATTTTTAGGTAGACAGTTGATTATTTTTCCAAGACCAAAAAAAAAAAAAAAAAAAAAAAAGCTACCAGGACGCTTCTTTCAGTTAGATCAACACAAGAAAACATCTTTCATAGCATTTCATGCCAATCTAGGACTTTACTAAGACATTTTAAAGTATTTCAGGTATGAAAGGTATATCTGATCAACAATCAGAAGAAATTCTGGAATTTACTCATAGTCTGACAAAAATTTATAAAGTGCTCTCATAAAGAGGATTAGCTCACGTTCATGTCTTTTACAAGACCCCTAGAACTGAGTCACTACTCTGAGATTATACATGTATTAAAGGCATAGACAACTTTCAGTCAGCCTAAGGAAGAGGAAAGGAAAAAAAATCAACATTTCAAATTATGGAATACAGACCAAGGCCTGAAAACCAAGGAAGGAAAAGGCATGAATGGATATGCCAATCATGTAAGAAGGGCATCAGCCATATAGTGCTGTGGCCAAGTGGATGCATTGATTTAAAAAGCGAACAGAATGGTACTTCAGTCTGGAACTCAAATATGACTGTTCCCAATAGCAACCACTGGCAAAATGATGGTTAAGAAGTGGACTGTCAAACACCAATACTGAATCCTGAGAAAACACTGGACCTACAAAGGTAAATATATGTAAAGACAATTTAAAATTTCACATGTAAATGGTAACTTAGCCTCTGGTGTTATATTCTGTAGTTATATTCTGTTTACAAATAGCATGCATGGTGGACTCTAATAAGAATTACAAATGTTCAGTCTGTGGACATGGTTTCATCATAAAGAAAAAGATGGTACTTAAGGCCCACAGTCATGTGAACAATCCCCTTGGATAGGAAAGGATACATAGACAAACATTACTGAGCAATAAACAACCATTATTTATACCTTCCGGCTCTTAAGCGACAGTTAAAAGAAATAGTTCTTCATAAGCGATGTTCCATACTTATAACCTTTATAACTGTAATACAGAGATACCTTACCATATCATAAGCCTAGGGCTCATTTCTTCGTGCAACCTCCATATCTTAAGTAGGCACCATGAAGTGAAATGCACACACATGTAGATAGATATAGCCATGTGTCTTTGTTCAAGAAAAATGTCTCCTATCACTCAATCCCCTCAGTGTAGAAGATTTTGACATGGAAACAGTTAGGTTCATCCACTACATACAACTTTCACCTCGTTCTCACCTGCTCAGACGCATACTGCCTATCTAAATTTGCCAAACATGAGTCTATACCAGTTGGCAGGGATGAGCACCATTTCATAGAGCCTGGATGTGATCACTGATCTTCAGCAGTCATCTCATAAAAAGTAATTAGCTCCAAAACCCATTTCAATAAACTAGTCTATTTAAAACTCTTCCTTTCAAGATTCTAATTCAACATTTCATGTGACTAAGAGTGGCGTGATTACCATATGTTAACCTTTAGAAATTTGTAGTCCCAATTAGATTCAATGAGTAGTAGTATTCAAGGCTGAAATGTTCAAAAATTTTGAAATGGCAAAAATTGTTCACAACGTTAAGAAAACATATATTAACAAAAATGTGCTCTTCTGATCCTCTGTTTACCCTAAAAATATATTTCTTACAAAAGCAAACCATAATAATAAAATCTGCTTTCATTGATGGAGCCATAGCTGCTCTTTTCCCATCTTAGGCTCCTTATGAGGGAATGAACATAGCACAGATTCTCCTACGTTCCACTGGATCTCTATCTTTCGAGTCATGGAATTCGATGGTAGTGTAAAAGAAAATTCTGGCGGTACTTATCACCTGAAGCATCTCCTCTCCAGGATCAAGAATTAGGTGCCAAGCAGAACTCATACTGAAAGAAGCCCAGTGCAAATGCTGCTGCTGTGGCACTTGGGGAGAAAGGTCACTGGCTGGCTGTCACGATCAGCTGTATCTGGGACTTCAGGTGGCCATACATTTTTGAGTCTCTTCTAGCCAGTGCCTTCGTGGCATATTGCCATCCAAATTAAACTAACTGATATTACTAATTTGCCATTGAAATTATCCATGGGTTAACGTGGCTGACGTTACACACACTTGCCTAATGACACACTCACTGGGCTTCCACTGTTGGCTTTGAATTCAGCTTTATCCGTTACAGCGTTCCTACATCTTTACACTGGAAGATTTTTCTTTAATACAGATTTTTCTCTAACTGCTGCAGCTGCTCCTACTGAGCGCCCAGTGTTGCCAGAGAAATCACATCTACACATACGTGTAGAATCAGGAAAACAAGCAGCGTTATTGCCCGTTTTAAAATAAGCTCAATCAGAGAAAAGAACAACTGCTACAGTATACAACTTGATGAGCAGCTGAAGATGAAAATATTCTCAGATGCAGTCATAGAATCCAGGGAGTGTTTTATTCAGGGATTCTTGGATGAGACAAAGGCCAGTTCTTGCCTCACTTTTTCCGAATCACAGAATCAACAAGTGGGATGCATATGGCTCATGTAATCTAAAATTAGCTTGAAAATGTTCTGGAATGTCATCCACATTTTAATGGTAGAAGAAATAAAAGCAAATTTTAATTTAAAAGTTATACCATTTTTAAAAAAAGTTCTACCATGGGAATTTTAATGAGGACAATAATTATCCTATAGGAAATAAAACGTATTTTCAACAATGGCCTAGTATTAAATAAACACACATGTCAACACTATCGAGGAGCAAAAATGGGTCCCTACACTAGCAAATGGCACAGATTCAACCAATCAGTGTTAAATCAATATTGCACAAGCAGAGAGAAGGAAGACGCCAAAAGAATGTGAACAATCAGGAAAGGAGCCTTACTCTTGACGGTCGCTGTCCGGGTACAGTTGTAAAGAATAGCCAGCTCCCCGAACACCTTTCCGGGACCCATCGTGCACAGCTTTACACCTTCCTTCGTAACTTCAACCTTCCCATCTGAAAGAAGAAGGGAAGGCATGTTATCTAAATCCTCTCTCATGCTGCTGCATCTGTTGCATCTTCATTATGAGCTGAAGAACACTGAGGATGTTTAATAAAAAAGAAAAGAAAAGAAAAGCATCAGTGAATCAATTTAAACAAAGTTTCTCCCAAAGGACAATACAAGAAATGCAATAAAATATGCATGCTTAGAAACCCAGCTCTTAAATTCTGCACCGACAGATTTGAAGCGAGATTCAATGAAGAGGCTAGGAAAAGATGGGGACAAAAACATGAGCCTATGAAACTCTTCCATATGTAATTTTAGCAAACCATGGTAATTCCAATTTTAACATTGTGTTCCATCTAAGCGGAAATTCCAGTAAGTGGGCACCTACTCTCCAGCGTTCCTCAGACTCAGACATTTTCATCTTGAGCAAGGCAGTTATTATATAGAGAGAAATTACTTTGACCCCTGGGCATTATTTAATTGCAGCTTTTGGTATCTGTTTATTTGGAAACATCTTATCTGACCAAGGCAAACTGTTTTCTCTGCTTCCCAGCTTGTGAATTTGACTATCAGTCAGGAAAAAAAGGAACCATAAAGCCGGAGGACTGTTTATGCTTCACAATGGGCTGGAAAAATAAAATGCAGAAGAAGGAAAAAGCTAAGAAACTCTGTACAGATTGCTGTTCACAAATAAGGAAGGAGTGTTATTCATGGGGGAAATAGGGGAAAAATATTAATTTTAAAATGTTATAGTTCTGTAGCCTAAAATTTCCATCACACAACTATGGAAGAAATCAAAGGCAACACTCTACTCTAGAGGTAATCCTGCACTTTCGCTATTTTTTTTCCAATCTCTTACCCACCGTCTACAGAAGAAAAGAAAACTTCTCGCTTGGTAGGAGAACTAAGCCCAGACTGATGTTTCCCAGTGTTGTCCTAACTTCAGGCCCCAAGTACCAGCATCAGAGCTGTTACTTTAAGTGCCTGTTTCTTGTAATAGCTGTTTTTTTTTTAATAAGTGTCGAGATTAATTCATTCCTGTCTTTAAATCAATTGAGTCTAATCAAAATATTGGTTTAAAAATCCAATTTGATACATTAACTTTTTCATATACTTGTTGAGCTATAAATCTTAAGTATTGAAGATGTTTCATTTATGCATCCGTGAGGGACCATTTCCCCTGTAGGGCAGTGGTTCTCAGCATGTGAGTCATGACCCATCTTGGGAGAGTGGTTCTCATATCAGCCTACAGAGCACATATTTATATTATGATTAACGATAGTAGCAAATTACAGCTATAAAGTAGCAACGAAATAATTTTGTGGTGGGACGGGGGGTCACCACAACATGAGGAACTTTATCAAAGGGTCACAGTACTAGGAAGGTTGGGAACCACTGATGTAAAGCGTAGGCGCTCTGAGCCTCCGCACGGAAATAGTATTTACGAATGGAGGATTTGAAGATAATTGGGACAAAACACAGAATCTACTCACCATGTTAGAACTGCATTCCTCAGTATTAGTAAGCTACAAATGAACAATCTCGTGATTCTAAAGGTCTAGAACTGCTTGCACCGGCAATATTCAAACATTCTTGAGCTTTCTCATGCTCACTGACCACAGAAGGGAAATGCCCTCTTTCAAGCTACTCCAAAAACCCGCCCAAGAAATTTATCTATTCTTAAATATAGCATATCCCCATTTTCTTCCTATGATGTTGGTTCTCCTAGAAATTTTATGTGACACTCAAAAGCGAGACAGAGCATATTTTTAGCATGGTAGTAAAGAAATTAATACATTTGTCTGAAGTCAGAATAGGAACTGGGATATATATATATATATATATATATATATATATATATATATATATATATTATTAATTACACTTTATTCACTTTGTATCCCCCCTGTGGTTCCCTCCCTCCTCCTGTCCCAATCCCTCCCTTTCTCCACCCTCTGCATGCATGCCCGTCCCCAAGTCCACTGATAGGGGAGGACTTCTTTTCCTTCCTTCTGATCCTAGTCAATTAGGTCTCATCGGGAGTGGCTGCCTTGTCTTCTTCTGTGGCCTGGTAATGCTGCTTCCTCCTCAGGGGGATGTAATTAAAGAACAGGCCAATCAGTTCCTATTACAATGGAACCCACTTGGATACTGAACTGCCATGGGCTACATCTGTGCAGGAGTCTTAGGTTATCTCCATGCATAGTCCTTTGTTGGAATATCAGTCTCAGGAAAGTCTCCTGTGCTCAGATATTTTGGTTCTGTTGCTCTCCTCTGGGTTTTCTTGTTGCTCTCCTCTGGGTTTTTTTTTATCTGTTAGTTACCAGCACTATGACAGTTGGTAAAGTTGATTAACTTCAGTGGTTTACTTTCTTCATTAGTAAAATCAAGAAAGCCAGGGTATCTTTGTTATTAGGTGATTGTTAAATTTAAATGAGATAAAGACAACTAAAAATACTTATCCCTGCAAGAAATGTTTAATACATGTCTGCTCTTACTACTTATGTAAATTTCATTATGTTTGTTTATCTTATAAATGAAAGTAAGAATTATTTGCAATATATTTCAATAGACCATCACCTACTTCAGAAACTGGAGTCTACACAGAAAAATAGGTTTTCTGTTCTAAACAAAGAATTTGTTTTTAGGTCCCTTCAATGAGGTGCAATGGTAGTGAGAAGGAAAAACATTCAAACTCAAATCATTATTAGACCCAGAGGAATAAACAGAAACCCAAGAAAATCAGTGATTCATCTGGGGAAATGCCAAGTCTTTGGACTTTTCTACATTCGCCTTTGTTCAGACATTTTATGGCCACATTGCTTCAGAGACCACAGACTTGAAGTTTGGAGCTCTGAAGGATAAGTAATAATGTCCTAACGCATTATAAAACTGTCAATCTAAAGCTTGTAGTGTTAATTATAAATATAATTAAAACAAAACAACCAAAGCCTAGAGGAAAAAGAAATGACTATGTGAGTCTGCCTCTCTGTCTTTGCGGTTGACATTTAAGAATCTTTAGTGGAAAGAAACATCTAAGCAGAATCCAGCTGAACACTGGGAATCATGCTGTCTCTAGAAATACCTGCCCAGGAAAAGATAACAGTCAGCATTAGGCCTGTTGTTTTGAACCAGAGGTTACTTCAAGTAAATCAGTGGACCTATCCCATTTGAGACAGCTTGTGAAATCTAGATGATTTCCTTCATAGGAAGTTGCAAACTAGCCAGCTACCACCGTGAGCCTCACATCCGATCATGCAGACATCCTTCCTTGCTGGACAAACCTTATTCCTATAACATTTGTCTATTTAGATATATGGACAGCTACACTTGTAAGTATTACACCTTCCATTTAATGAACTCCTGAAAGCTCATGCACTGAAACCGTGAGACTCGGGGGCTTGAAATTTATGCACAAATTCACTTCTAGTTTCAAATCGGTTTCCTAATCTTTTTTAGACAGTCTCATGGTGTAGACCACACTGGCTTTGTATAGACCAGTCTTTCTTCCGCCTCCTGAGTACTGGGATTAAAGCTATGAACCACCACATCCTGCCTTGTTATTCTAGTCATTTATTTGCCCAATTTTTTTACATCTAACTTAACTTTTGTTGAAAAAAATAGGTATAAATTATACATGTGCTAATTATTCATTTATATATTAATAACTGGCGCTGCCAATAGAAGTTTGTGCTCCATATTAATTAGAAGCGTTAAAATAAAGTATTCAGTATTATACTTGATGAATGCTAGTTTAGATATGAATATCATTTCCAGGTTAATTTAAATACTCAACAGACAGTATGGTCACAATTACCAAGGAAATATAGATGATCTGATGTCATTTGATATATGACACTTATTAAAAACATTCTGTTTTTATTTGTTTCTTCAGTATTGCTTTTTTTTCAATTATTTGAGACAAGGTCTTATATTTCCTTAGATAACCTCAGTCTTGCTATGTAGCAGAGGATGACCTTGAACTTCATATCCTCCTTCTTTTACCTTCACAGTGCAGGAATTACAGCATGTATCACCATGTCCCACCCAGCTTAAAGCACTATTTCTTTGTTGTTGGTATTATAGTTTCGTAGACAGACATGCTTAACTCAGAAACAAAAATACATATATTACCCTGAATAATTTGGTTTCTTATTTTTCTTCATGTCTGATATGAGGATGAGAGTAAGTAACAGAGAGAAGGGACAGATGACAGAGACCGGCCTGGCATGAAGCAGAGCTCTTTTAAAGGCATGGAGAGGTATTTTTGTTTTACAAATTATTTATTTATTCTATGTATATGAGTGCTCTGTTTTCATGCACACCAGAACTGTGTTCTTAAGTGAATACCAATTATCTACTTGAGGTATTTTCCTAATCGAACACACCTCCTCTGAAGATCTTAACTCCTACTTGCTAAAAGAGCTAAGTGTACATGCCCAGGAATTCCTACTCCCATATAATCTGCTTGTTCTAGCGTGTTAGGGTGTGATGAGACCAGTCCTTAGACCAATAGTTCCCACCCTTCCTAATACTGCTGCCCTTTGCAGAGTTCCCCATGTGCTGCTGATCTTCAACGAGAAAAATGTTTTTGTTGCTATTTCCTAACTGTAATTTGGTACTGTTCTGAATTATCATGTAAATATCTGCTATGGAGATGGTCTCAGGGGACTCCTATGCAAAGGTCGTGAGACCCCCCAAATCGGTCACAACCTACAGGTTGAGAACCAGTGCTCTAGACGCACTCATGTGCAGATTACTTCTCTTCCCGTTCCCCTCAGTGGCCACCTCTGAGAGACACACATCAAGCTGACAGTAGGGAAGCCTAGGAGTGGTGATTCTGCTGGGGAGGAAAAGGGTGAGGGGATGTTTGCCTGAGGCGTTTACCAAGCGTAGACTGTAGAAAGGTCTCCCCTGGAACTTTTATTATGAATTTTTTCTTTTACTAAATTTGGTGATTCGTTTTGGTGAATTTTCTTCAGGTCAACATGAATGGGTGTAATTTCTA